CTCTCATCGTGCATTACCGTGGAGATCCACATGTTTATTAAATGAAATAGATATATAGTCACAAACCAACGAGAATTAAAAGCAGAAAAATTGTTCCGCAATAACAGCAGATGCAATGCTGTGCCCTTGATGTGGATAAGCTGATACGTTTCGGGAGATGAACTCCCTTTCTCAGAGCTCTGAGGAAGGGAGTTCATCTCCCGAAACGCATCAGTTATCCACATCAAGGGCACAGCATTGTATCCGCTGTTATTGCAGAACACTTTTTCTGCTTTTAATTCTCGTTGGTTTGTGACTATATATCTATTTCATTTAATAAACACGTGGATCTCCACGGTAATGCACGATGAGATAACTAGAACAAGCACTATTCCAACAAAAAAGAGAGTGGCTATTTACAATTTTTTAAAGTGTTTTTCCACTCTAAACAGAAAAAGTAACCCTTCTTACAAATGTACTGGAGTGGAATTTTCTGTCTTTCTGACATCAAACCAAATGGAGTATAAAAAGCACTAACTAAAAATAGATATTGCTATTGCTTCGAAAAGCCTCATGATTGATTTGGATTAATGAAACGGAAGCCAACTTCAATCATGCTACACAAAAACACTTGTTAGTGTTCTACGGGATAAACAACCCCTGTTTGAAAAAAATATGGCATCCCTGTTTATACTGCCTGCAGGTACCGGACACTTAAGGTGGACATCGGACTGGAGGCGGGGCGGATTTCCCGGACTCTTATACTCTTCCCCCCTTTTTCTCTCTTTCCTCCTCTACTTTCTTTTTTTTCTCCTTTGCATTGTCTGTTTTAATTACTTTGGTGCAATCTTGGTTCGCCTTTTGGACTTTTGCTCAGGGTTAAAGAGGGCCAGTTTACTATCCTTCAGACTTTAGGAGGGCCAGAAGTTGGTGTGAGTGGGAGAAATTGCACCCCATTATTGGTGTCAGTGGGAGGAATAGTGCCCATTATTTGTGTCAGTAGGAGGAATAGTGCCCCATTATTAGTGTCAGTGGGAGGAATAGTGTCCCATCATTGGTATTAGTGGGAGGAATAGTGCCCCATCATTGGTCTCAGTGGGAGGAATAGTGCCCCATTATTGGTCTCAGTGGGAGGAATAGTGCCCCATCATTGGTGTCAGTGGGAGGAATAGTGCCCCATTATTGGTGTCAGTGGGAGGAATAGTGTCCCATCATTGGTGTCAGTGGGAGGAATAGTGCCCCATTATTGGTGTCAGTGTTAGGAATAGTGCCCCATTATTGGTCTCAGTAGGAGGAATAGTGCCTCATTATTGGTGTCAGTGGGAGGAATAGTGCCTCAATATTGGTCTCAGTGGGAGGAATAATGCCCTATTATTGGTGTCAGTGTTAGGAATAGTGCCCCATTATTGGTCTCAGTAGGAGGAATAGTGCCTCAATATTGGTCTCAGTGGAAGGAATAGTGCCTCAATATTGGTCTCAGTGGGAGGAATAGTGCCCATTATTGGTGTCAGTGGGAGGAATAGTGCCTCATTATTGGTGTCAGTGGGAGGAATAATGTCTTGTATCAGTGGGAGGAACAGTGCCCCAACGGCTGGATAAAGGCAAGCAGAGGGCTGCAACCCTCCCCCGCCGCAGTTTGGAGACCACTGGTATTGACTCTATAGGTGATACATCCCCTATGAACCCATTTGAACCAACCGTATTGTTATTATTTCTTTTCCCTTTTTTCCTTTGTGAAAAATCTCTGCCAGACATACCAGTCTGCTGTTTTAGTATTATAGTGGTTCCTGTATAGGCTAGGATCAACTACATACCATGGTGGCCATTGTCTACCCAGTCGATGGGATGGGTGGGCATACCCTGGCCCATCCACCCTGCTGGGCAGACACTGCCTGTATCGAGGTCCCTTTTTACTGGTTGATGTTTCTCCTGGAACATAGTCTACACAGTGTTATACAGACTTCTTTGTGATGGACTGCTTTGATGCGGTTCTTCATATATGCATAAGGACTCTATCTGTGGTCTTGATTGAACCCCTTTTTTTCCTCATAACTCTTATTTTTGATGTTCTCTTATTATTGTCACCTATGTATATAACTTGCCTATGTAGACAGTTCACTTTGATACATAATTTGGTAATCCTGTACTGTTCGATTGCCATTTAAAAACTTAATAAAAAAAGATTGAAACAGAAAAAGCATTAATTACAGTGAAACCAATCATCATAGTTAACACTGTGTCCATGTACTGTTGAATATGGAAAAGCCACTATGCATAACGGTAGGGGAACACGCCCCAAACCAGATCAGCAGCATAACTGATATTAAGCTGTATTGCACAACTAGAATAATATTAATAATACCGGCTGCACAAACAATTTTTCAAAAACATTTTTGCATTCATGAAAGAATGGAAACTGAATTTCCTCTTGTTTAGCTGTACATTAAGTGGTAACTTTATTCCTGAATAAATATCATTTTTCTTTCCTTGTTTAGACCAAGATCTGTTTTAGGATGAAATATAAAAAACATTCTTTTTAATTGCAGAGGGAGTAAATTAGATCTTCAGACAGAACCAATTATTTAAACTGGCCTTACATATTGACAATGGTTGAATGTACTTGAAATCATCTATGACCCCCCGGTTCACATATATGCGGCCGTGCGGGCTGTGTTTTGCACGGTCATGAGAGCCCATTCATTTGAATGGACTCCCGTACCCGTGACACGCAGGGAAGAAGTCCCTGCACTTCTTTGGAAAACGCAGCCCGCACGGGAACCTCGGTTTCCAGTACGGTTGCGTTTCCCAGTGCGGGTGGCATGCCATTAGAACTAATGGCACCCGCCCCCGGGTCCGCAATTCTCTGTGCGGGTGGTGCGGCTGCACAGATTTTTGTGCAGATCGGTAGTGGCACCACCCACACAGAAGTGAACCTAGAGTCCCTGTCTTGAACCAAGCTTCCAGCTTACACAGGGAGTTCCTACTTGGAGTTCCACTTATCTTGCGTGAAACTATAGCAAATCGTTTTCAAACCTATTTGTTGTTTTTTTTCCCCAGATAATGCTTTTCTGGGGCTATCACAAAGACATTAGGTCAATCTGAATTGCCAGCTAATGTCTGCGTATCTATAATCCTTTAAAATCCATACAGATGTCCAGTGACAAATCTAAGGCTGCCAGTCTGCTGCACCATTTTTCTCTTGGTGTCATGAAAACTTGTCCGAAATGGCTGAAGAACCAAGCAGCAGATAAAAAAGACACTTAGTGCTCTTAGTTGAGGCGATTTCAGGTCCGAGGTTTACAACCACTTTAAAGCGGAGTTCCAGCTGAAGAAAAATAAAAAATAAAAGTCAGCAGCTACAAAAACTGTAGCTGCTGACTCTTAAAATACAGCCACTTACACAGGGGTGGACTGACAACTCATGGGCCCCCCGGGCAATAGGGGATCATGGGGCCCCTGTGTCTTCGCCCACACTCAAACCATACCCAAAAAAGCCTATGAAAGGTACCAGGGGCATCTCATGGGGCCCCTTACTGACCCCGGGCCCTTGGGCAGTGCCCGAGTCTCCGAATGGTCAGTCCGCCCCTGCACTTACCTGTCCCTCGGTCCAGCGGTGTCCTCACCACCGCTGATTTCACTGGCCGTCTTCTCTCCCTGGTGCCGACATCTTTAGTTTCGGCACCTGGCTGTGACAGCTTGCGGCTTCACAGCCGGGTGCCCACTGCGCATGCGCAAGCATCGTGCGCTTTGGGAATGGCCCCGTAGTCTACTGGGACCTGTCACGTGTCTCAAAAGACTACGGGGAGGGAGGTGGGAGGACAACTTCTGCTTCCGATTGCTGTAGGCAATGGCAGCAGAAGTGGGAGCGGGGGTACCTGTCAAAATCAGGTACACCCGCTCCCCAAAGGTGCCAATCCTTAATGGGGAGCGGGGGACAAAGGCTTAAAGCGGAACTTCCCCTTTTGGGTGGATCTCTGCTTTAAAGCAGTTATGAAGGGAAAGGTTATTTAGCAATTGCAGTTCTTTTAAATTCATTATAGGACACATAGATGAAAAAAAATTATATATATATATTTTTTTTTTTCCCATCCCATTGCCAGTACCGCCTACTGGTTGGGTAGATAGAGGTGATGCAGCTAGTGAGAATAGAAGGAGTACTTACTCTGGTTTTCAGTCTTCTGCACCTGTCCTTAGAAGAAATACGATGTAGACTGATGCTTTGTCACCTACATAAGGAGTACTTATAGCCTGACACAAGGCTTAGGGTTACAGCTCCTAGCTATTTGGACAGCAGTCAAATGGCCCAGCCCAGATAAAGGCTGTTCTGTGTGTCACTACATTCCTAGCTTGTGCTGTACATCAGAGGACATTCTCTGGCCTGAGGTACTTCTCTGACCTGAAGGGTAGATAGGACCCTTTGGTGTAACTAGGTCACAACACTCCAGAAAGATGGGACCATTTTCTTCAGAAATAAGTGAAAAAAATATCACCTATAAAATAAAACCATACGTTTATTTCTAGTTTTCAGTTTAATTTAATGTGTATGTTTTCTGCTGTCATTTTATTTATTTTATGTTTTCTTCTTCATTTTAACAATTCTGTTATTTTATGTTTTCTTACTTTATTTCAACAATTCTGCCATTTTTCGAGGAGAGTTCAAATCAAACCAGGACTTTTAATATTACAGAAGGGATGCTAGCTTGGCAGTACTACATGCTGGCCTTAGCTACTTTTCTCTGTCCCTACAGAGACAGATAAAAAGATAGGATGTAATTAGGGCACAACACTCCAGAAGAAGTGTTCTATTTTCTTCAGTAATAACCAAATAAAATATCATCTATAAAATATGACCACACATTTTGTTTTTGGTTTACAGTTTAGATTACTATTAGAGATGAGCGAAGAAATGAAAAATTCGATTCGACTGATTCGGCGAATTCGTGGACAATATTCGATTCGAGTCGAATAAATTCGCTGTGAATTTAACTTAAAAAAGGGTGTTTCTAGGCTTCAGAGAGACTTAATATTAGTGCAGAACACTGTACCTTTAATTTAAATGCCCTTGGAGTCTGCTGGGGAAGAGAAATAATACTGTCAGTCAGTATGACATGCAGATGAGTGCCGTCGATCTTAGAATCACTGCACACTTCACTCCTTTGGCCAGTCACGGGGCCAAAACCAGTGTTTGGAGCCACAGTGTGGCGGTGGAGCCAGCAGCAATGGGAGGCCATACAGCAACCTATGACAAAATGGAAACCAGCAGGAGCGTGAGGAGACCTGAAAATGGCACATGGCAGAGTGGGAGCAATGGGAGGCGGTACAGGGACCCAGGTCACACTGTGGGCCCAGCAGCAGCGTGACCAGGCGGTACGGGGGCCCATGGCCGATATGGGGCTTGGTGGCACCTATGGAAGGCCTGTAATCTGCCAGCAACCTATGACAAAATGGACAACCGCAGGAGTGTGAGGAGATTTCAAAGTGGCACATGGCAGAGTGGAAGCAATGGGAGGCCGTACAGGGACCCAGGTCACACTGTGGGCTCAGCAGCAGCGTGACCAGGAGGTACGGGGGCCCATGGCCGATATGGGGCCTGGCGGCACCTATGGGAGGCCGCTAATCTGCCAGCAACCTATGACAAAATGGACAACCGCAGGAGT